AAATTAGAGAGTTGCCACCTGTGTTTAAAATTTCAGTTTAGGTCAATTGATACGGTAAAGTGAATACTGCAATATGGCTGTCAAAAGAAAGAAATTTACAAAGGCTTACAGCTGAAAATATTTTTGTGGAAGGTTGCCACCTATTTGAAAACTTTAATTTAATTTAATAGATAGCATAAATTAAATATTGCAATATTGGCATCAAACTAAAGAGGCTAGGAAATTTTAATGCTGAAAATATTTTTAGAGGATTTGCCAACTGATTGAAAAATTGTATTAATTAAAATTTGTAAAATAAATGAAATATTGCAGAACGAATATTAAACTAAAGAGGATTAGGAAGCTTACTTTTAAAAATATTCTTGAAGCAGGTTGCCACTTATTTGAAAAGTTTAATTCTTAAATTTATAATATAACCTAAATGCTGCCATATGGGTATCAAACGAGAGTATTTGAGAATAATAAAATTGCAACAAGCCGATATCTGTACGTAATAGATGTTAAAGAAAAATGAAGAGGATCATAGATCAACAGAAGTCAAATCTAAAATTTTTATAATTTTGGTCTATTTGGCTGTATGTTTGTAAGCGCATCACGCAAAAGCTAATGTATGCAATTAAATGCAGTTTTCACCGATGTACATATTGCTAGAGCTCTAATTGAAAATATAGAATCCTTTTTTTTGTGTTTTAGTTTATCGTCGATCATTATTCCTAAGTATTTGAACGTATTAACTTTTTCCAGTGCGTCGTTGTTTATATTTAGAGTTAGCAACGGACCGTTCTCAAAATTTCGCCTTGATATAACCACAAACTTAAGTGTGTTCAAGCACAACCAATCCCACTTTTTTGGAACTTTTGTGTGGAAGGTTTTTCGTTAAAAAATTAAAGCTTTTCGTTGTTGCTGCCAAAAAATTAAGAAATCTGAGACGTCACGGTTTACAATTTCATACAGTGTACAATGTTTTTCACTATACTACTAAACGGCCGCACCGACTTGGTTCATATTTGGCAACACCTTCAAAATAAATATTCTGACCAAAAATTTACTTCGTATGTAGCTCGGGATATGCCTAAAATTCTTATACAGACTAAAACGTAAAAAACCAATATATCTCTAAAACCAATTACGCTAGGGAACTGAAACGTAGTACTGATGCATATATTGAAAGTGCTTTGGAAAAGGGGGCGTGGTTCCTTCCTTCCATACAAACTGAACTTCTTATATAGCTTATCTCTTGAACTGCTTACGCTAACGTCCTGAAATTCGACACAGCTACATATGTTATCAATACCGTACTTATGGCGAAAAGTAGTAATTATTGGAAATGCTGGATCGATATACATTTACGTAAACGCGCAACTATCATTCGATTGGGAACCATTTTCTCCTAGATTTCTAAACCCCATTGAACTATTGTAACTTTGTCTTTAATTAAATTTTGAAGAATTTTCTTAAATTTTTCACAAAGAATGGAGCCTTGCTTTTACGAGTTTCGCTATAGACTGTCCTACATACCTATTTGCATAAAATGATAGCCGTTTTCGTTCTTCGGAATAAACTCAAAAACCACTGAATATAGTTCCGTCAGATGGTCCAATTACATGCANTGAACGTATTAACTTTTTCCAGTGCGTCGTTGTTTATATTTAGAGTTAGCAACGGACCGTTCTCAAAATTTCGCCTTGATATAACCACAAACTTAAGTGTGTTCAAGCACAACCAATCCCACTTTTTTGGAACTTTTGTGTGGAAGGTTTTTCGTTAAAAAATTAAAGCTTTTCGTTGTTGCTGCCAAAAAATTAAGAAATCTGAGACGTCACGGTTTACAATTTCATACAGTGTACAATGTTTTTCACTATNGTCTACATTTTCAGACACAATTTGGAACGAACTGTGAACACCCCAATTGCAATTTTGCGAGAGCACAAAACTACACAATGACAAACATGAACAAATGTACAAANAAGCTTTTCGTTGTTGCTGCCAAAAAATTAAGAAATCTGAGACGTCACGGTTTACAATTTCATACAGTGTACAATGTTTTTCACTATACTACTAAACGGCCGCACCGACTTGGTTCATATTTGGCAACACCTTCAAAATAAATATTCTGACCAAAAATTTACTTCGTATGTAGCTCGGGATATGCCTAAAATTCTTATACAGACTAAAACGTAAAAAACCAATATATCTCTAAAACCAATTACGCTAGGGAACTGAAACGTAGTACTGATGCATATATTGAAAGTGCTTTGGAAAAGGGGGCGTGGTTCCTTCCTTCCATACAAACTGAACTTCTTATATAGCTTATCTCTTGAACTGCTTACGCTAACGTCCTGAAATTCGACACAGCTACATATGTTATCAATACCGTACTTATGGCGAAAAGTAGTAATTATTGGAAATGCTGGATCGATATACATTTACGTAAACGCGCAACTATCATTCGATTGGGAACCATTTTCTCCTAGATTTCTAAACCCCATTGAACTATTGTAACTTTGTCTTTAATTAAATTTTGAAGAATTTTCTTAAANGTGAATATTGCAATATGGGCGTCAAAAGAAAGAGTCTTAAGAAGGCTTACAGCCAAAAATATTTTTTTAGAGTTACCACCTGTTTGAAAATTTACATTTCATCNTTTTCGTTCTTCGGAATAAACTCAAAAACCACTGAATATAGTTCCGTCAGATGGTCCAATTACATGCAACTAGAAAACTCGCTAGGTGGTGCTTGAGTAGAGTTATTTATAAAAATCGTATTTATTAACCGATTTCCTTCAAATTTTAAATGTGAGCTATGTACCTGTATAATGCAAAATTTTTTTGATAAAAATTGAGCCGATACGCTGGAGTCGAGGTTGAGATTCATAACACGTAATCATTTAATGGTAAGCAATGGTTTTGCAGAAAATGAACCCAATGGATGGCGCTGCAGCCGAAATGTATAGAAACCCCGTGTGGTTGGTCTGCTTTGGCCCTATGTTTAAGTTATACGAATTTAGTTTTCAGTTGGCTAAATGAAGGATGGGGTTAAGTTTTTCTGACGTCCTCATACACAATCATGCGGTCTTGCTTCTACCCAGAAATCAGTTCATAAATTTTACCACGAATTGTAAAAGTGGCGAATTAACTAGGAAAGATCACCGTAGGTATATCAATTGCTTCATTTGAAAGATACTTAAGAGATCACACGACTCATTTAGCAATGTACCGGAAAACTTTTCATCCTGTGGGACAGCGAGGATTCTTGGCCCTCCTATAACAGAAAACGCACTTCTGTGCTCTTGAGTTTCCCTATAAGAACTTTTATTGGCATACGCATCGCACCAATGTTGTAGTTGCAATATCATATNTGTGGGACAGCGAGGATTCTTGGCCCTCCTATAACAGAAAACGCACTTCTCTTGAGTTTCCCTACAAGAACTTTTATTGGCATACGCATCGCACCAATGTTGTAGTTGCAATATCATATAAAAAGATTACGCATGCTTGGCAGAGATCTCACAGGTAGAAATAAGACCATAGGTAAAGCTGATGACACCGAAAGGGATTGGTATTCCATATGGTATCACAGCGTTACTATTATTGGCCTATGTGTGAGGAGGATACTGCGCCTTAGTGGTTTCAACTTAAAACAAAAATTTTGACTTTACAGACTAATTTTGTTTTTAAACGCTCTTTTGCATTGGCCAACGCAAAAGCTCTTATTAGGCGCCGCGAAGCAAGCGGGCATTGGCTAGTCATAAATATATCCATACAAACATATGTACATATGTACGAATGGATGTAGTTACGCGAAGCACGCTTGCATCATTTATACATACATATATTGCTTGGTAGCGGCAGAGCTGAAATTCGCAATGAGTTCGTTCATACATACATATATATGTATTAGATTGGTGCACAAGTCGCCTTACAGCGAGTTTCAGGTCATTTGGTCATATAAAATAGCAATGCAATGTTTTGTTTTCAACCACCAATGCTCTGCAAGAGCACAGAGAGAAATGAGCAATACATGCCGCAGCACAACCTGTTTCTCTCTAGTCTAGGTTCAGACGGAGAAACTTTTGTTGCTCATTTTCGTCGATTTCTCTTTTGGTGTTGCCCATCGCTTTCATACGGAGCAACTCTGAGCTGGCAATTTTCTGACATTTCCGCTTATATCATATTCGCAAATTTCTGTACGAATCGTTTACCCGGCACCAACAAACTCTGATAAAATTTGTGATTATAAGTAAAAAGTGAGTTGAGAAATAAAGTTTTTAAATAAATTTTCGTATTTACATATGTTAATTTGCTTCTTTGCTTATTTAGCGCAGCCATGGCAGAAAAAATCAAGTGGACTCAAGCGGAGATTGAAAATCTAATAAGCAGCAGTATGAGTGCATCTATAATGTAAAGTGTGCAGGTTATTTAGACCGCAACGCCAAAGCCCAAGCGTTTAATAAAATCTGCGAAGATTTGGAAATGCCATTATTAGACGTAATAGAAATGAAGAAAAAGTGGAAAAATTTGAGGACACAGTTTTTGAGAGAGATGCGAGAGTTGCGGGCTTCTAAAAAAAGTGGCTCAGGATGTGTACACACCAAAATTGTGGTGTTATACACAATTACAATTCCTTGAAGCCCACACACAAATAAGGAGCGGACAGAGTAATTTTGAGGTAATATTTTAATTTTGTTTCTCATGTTTATTAAAAAATACATGTTTTACTTTTAAGGATGTAACCCCCCGCCCGAAAGCCCAGGAGGCACCTCGTCTGGTGTCTCAAATTTTTCCCAGTTTAGCCCAGGAGCCCCATCGAGTATTTCTCATTCTTCCCCACTAAGCCCACAAACGACTTTAAGTGATTTTATTGATATAGTAAGTAAATAAAGCATACGTAACAAAAAAAAAGTTATATACAATTTAATTTCTTCTTTGTTTATAGAGCACTGAAGCGAGTAGCAGTGGCGCTAGCGAGCCACAGAAGAAACGGGCAAAGGTGTGGATAATCTCCAGTTAATTTTATTGCTGTTTAAAGTTTAAATACTTTAGACGCTGTTGCATATTTTGAGTTACTAATATGTTATTTTTTTAAGGACGGTGCACTGTACAGGTTACGGAAGGATTTGGCCTCATTCAAAGATAGAATCTGCGAAAAGCGCACGAAGCCATTTTCTTGGCTGGGGAACTTGGTAGCACCCAAATGGAGGAAATAATTCCCGAACAGCAAGACGACGCTGCGTGGGAGGTTCAATGCCTTATGCGAAGATTGGTGCAAAAATCTAAGAACGCCCCATCTTCGCAACCTGTTTCGTGTGACCTGCTTCAAGATGCAATGAGTGGAGTCTTTGATGAAACTGATTTTGAATGACTGTAAGTAATATGGATGTCCGTTCTATAAAAGCAAATCAAAAACGTTTATTTTTTATTTTTATTTTTACAGCTCCTTATAAAAATTAGTGCTGTGAAATGGAAGAAGTACCTGGAATGTGTATTTTTAACCGACTTCCAAAAAAGGAGGAGGTTATCAGTTCGTCGGAATTTTTTTTATTTTTTATT